TATACATTGTTTATATAATTTAATATATATACTTATATTATGGATTTATTTTTAATTTATTAATTTTAAACATTTTTATGTATTAGTTTCTAATTGACTTGTAAGAGTCAAAAAAATAAAAAATGAATAAATAAAATATATCATATAATATTTAAAAGGATAAATTATAAATATACCCTGAGATTTGTTTAAAATAAGAATCACCCCCTATGTTTTTGGAAATTATATTCCGCCTGTTGAAAATTTTAATTTCATAACAAATAACCTCTTTTATTAATAAATCATTATGTTAATTAACAATTTTTAATAATGTAACGCCCCAAAAATCGAGAACATCAGATAATATATTAATAATTAAATACAGGATTTATCTAAAGTTACAAGAGTAAAAAATGTCACTAATGAGTCCTTTGGCTAATAACCAAGCAAGATCCCAGGAAGGTCGGAGGAGTCAAAATAGCCTCCCTTATAAGTCCAACCACTTTAGATAACAAAGCTACATTTTTGACAGATCTTGACAAGGTATTAACACAAGACCTACATGAATTGACAAAGTATAAGGATGGGTTACAAATGTTATATATAATAATTACAAAATCATGTTTCAAATATAACAAGCAATTAATCACTTACAATCTCATAATCGTGTTTACAAAACTAGTTTCTAACTCTCATACGATAGTCATACATCTTCAAATACTTCAGTTTTGCCTTCAATTGGTCTAATAGTCCTTAATACCTAGTATGAAACGTCGTGAGCTTTGAATACCCAGTAAACACACACGCTCCCCATCCATTTTTCCCAATCCAATACACCATCACAATTATAACAAGCAAATAATTAAGCATGATAATCATTCAATAATAAAGGATTATAAGGTTAGATGTTAGTAAACTAGAAATCCCCCAAGAGATTTCATCCTCTCAACCATAAGAATCGGACGGGGATTATTCGGTATGTCCCCTCTTTTGCTACTTTGTTGCAAAATTAACCTGGGATGCCTACCAATGGTTATCTACGGCGTAGCACAAACTGCAGGGCCTCAAAAAAGACAGTAATAATGGGCCTTGCCCATAACCTCCTCTAACCTTATCCACCATAAACACCTAGGGTCCGAATACAACCACTCCGTTCAAGGATTCCGAAACAACTACTTGCGTAAGACTTTACTTTCAAGGGGAACATGTCCCGCTAATCAATTCAATTGGAACATAACTTTATCTCATAACAATACTTATGTGATCGAAACCCCATTAGCCATCCCATTAAGGTTCTCGTTGAAATTCACATTTTAATTAGTTAGTACAAGCGAAAAGGAAAATAAATTTGCATAAATGTGAGCATCTTCAAAGGACAAAAAAAATACATAACCATGACATATATAATATCATACCAAGACATGATTATATATAAGTAAACACATTCATAAAGTCAAGAGCACAAAACATCAATGTAAACAACATTTTCAGATTTAGAGTCACTTAAAGATCAAGATTAAAAGAACTATTTCAGATTTTTTCCAAATCCGGCCTTCCTATGGTTCGTAGATAATTTTATTTAGTTTTCAGAATATTTTTGGAAACGGAATGGCTTTTCCAGATTTTTAGTTACTTCAGAAATACTCCAGCTCTGTCCAAATTTGTCGACCGTTACAAAAATCAAGTTTTCTCACAAACCGCTCACTCTTTTTCAATGAAACCAATTTTACTTGAAAGCTATCTCCTTAAGGAAGATTCTGACATAAAATTAAGGTCCAGAAGATTTTTTGACATTTTTCTATAATTTTAAAAAGTTGGCTGTAAAACAGATTGTTCTGGCACAGTTCGTGAAATAAGAAAATTGGTGAGAAAAGAGGTCAACTAGGAGAAATTTTATACTTATCTTGTGATGAAAACATGATAAATAATATGTAATAAACTCAGAAATTTAAGGTGAAGGTGTGCCTTTGGAAATTTTGAGAGTTTGATATGGAAAAAAGGTAGTCTTATACCAATTAAACGAAATGTGAGAAGGGTAGAACCAAGGCTCAACTCCTTTCATTTTTAACACAAAAGTACCATCAAAACACATCTGAATGAATGTTTAAAACTTCTAAGAGCATGTATTTGAAAGGAAAAATAAGAGAGAGTTGTATTGTGGTTTACTTGATTGCCTAATGAAGTGTTTGCACAATTTCTTCTCTTTTTCCTTTCCTCTACCACCAAAACTCTCTTCCTCTCTTTTTCTCTCAGCTGAATATAGTGTGTATGTGTGTGCTCTTGCATGTAAAATGCTATGGGAGGGGTTGTTTTTATAATGAATTTGGTGCAAAAGGTCATAAATACCCATTGGTTGGAATTGAATAGGATAGTTTGGATTTAGTTTGAATTCAATAGAATAGTGAAGGATTAGAAGCCTTAATTAGATTCCTAAACATGATCTAGTTAGGGTTTCCTTCTAATCAAACCAACCTAATTGCATATATACATATATATATATATATATATAAGTTTGTACCAAGTCAAAGATTTTCTTTCTTAAATCATTCAAAATTGTCTCAAAGTACACTCATTACACCTACAATGGTGATGGATGGCTAGTGATGGTGAATTGATGGACTTGTTATATATATATATATATATATTTTTTTTTGTACAATTGTTGGAATTTGTAAAATATAATGTTTAAAAAAAAGATTTTAAGGTACAAGTGTATAAAAATATATAATGTTACTTGTTTGGGGTCAATTTGTGATTTAATTTGTGAGTTGGAACATTTATTTTAGTGTAGAATTAAATTAAATTAGGATTAGAGAGTTTAACTCGGTTTGGATTTCTTGTTTCGAATAAAAAGGCGATCAACCTACGAATGTGATAAAACCGGAAAAGCCTAGGGTTTTTGAGTGGTAATTCCATATTTAGGGAGCCAATTAGCCAGTATTAGAATATTAGAAATGATTCCTAAGTTACTGAAATCGATAAAGGTTTGTTAGTTTTCAGTTAGCGCATATATTTTGATCATAGGGTTAAAATTACAATTAATTCAAAAACTGAGGGCCTTCAAGGAAATAATTTAAAAGTAAGGGACTTAATAGGTTTAACAAAAGTTAGGGGTCTCACAAATAATGTGAGAATTATATTTTAATTAATAATTCAAGTAATTTCATTATTGTATAGCAGAGTAGTTAAGAATTTCATATTTTCAGTTAATTCTATTAAATAAAAAATTATGACAATGGGATATTTATAATTTTTCAAATTACATGGGATAATTTGTATTTTAAACAAATCTCAGGAGGTGTATTTATAATTTATCTTATTTAAAAAAGTGAAGCTAATCTAGGGATGAGAGGCTTGAGGATCTCACATAAAGTTAAGGTCCGATTCTCTTTAGTGTCTATTTTAGGTTGTGTTTGATTAGAAGATTTGAGGAAGAATTTGAAAAGGAAAGTGAAAATAGAAAGAAAAAGATAAAGAATTGCTAGGATTCCAATTCTAAACTATGTTGGTTGAGTTTGAAAAATAAAAAAAGAAAAGACATAATGAGAGCAATTTAATTAATTAAAATTTTATTTTACTGAATTTTCCGGATACTTTTTTCCTAATACAATTATCTTGTTTGGTTTCCAGTTTTTCAAAACACTTTTCAGAAAATTCTACTTTCTTATTTTCCGTGTTTTTTTGTTTTTACTGAATTTTTTTTAATATTTTAAGCAATTTTTTTACTTTTTAGACACACCTAACATAAATACATCTAAAAAGTAAAAAAAATTGTAAAAAAAATCTTTTAAAAATTCACTAAATATCAAAAATATAAAAAAAATACAAGAATTCAGTACATTTTTTGTATTTTTATGTATTTATTAATTTGTTAAAACATTTTTTCACAATTTTTTTACTTTTTAGGCATATCTACGTAAGGTGCATCTAAAAAAGTAAAAAAAAAATGTTTAAAATTTAAAAAATATTCACTAAAAACAAAAAAATACAAAAACCAAAAAAGTTAATTTTCAAAAAACTTAATTCAAAAAACTCAAACCAAACACAGTGATTAATATTTGATTTCAAATATTTCTGATGGCAAGATCATCACCGAGTACCAAAAAAATTAAGTTGTACTTTTACATAATTGAACATCTCAGAAAGTTTATTTATGAGACTAGTAGATTTAACTTTTAAAAAAAAAAGAAGGAAAAAAAAAATGAGGCAGCAGTTGTTTTCTTTTCTTTTTTTTTTCACCTTTAAAAACAAAAATAAAGGATTGTGGTTAGGTTTTGAAAAAATTCAAGAATCAAAGGGCTTGTTTAGGCATTATTTGGTATCCCTATATTAACACATTCTTTTATCTTTTTCAAGTCATATCATATTTTTATTTTTTTATATATTTTTTTGTAAATTTTTTTAAAATATACTTATTTAAATCATTCTAAATGCTTTTAATTTGTTTTTCAAAAAAAGAATTCATAATTTTTTTAAAAAATATTTAAAATTATTTTAATCAAAATCAAAATAAAAAAAAATTAAAATTTTTATTTATAACCACCCAAAACATAAAGTTATATAAAAATAGTAAGTATTTTTATTTTTTTTTATTCCTGTCCCCATATTGATATTTTAGAAAAAAATTCTGAAACAAGTTTTTGCAAAACCAAATCAAACAATCTACCGATTTTGTGAGTTCGAGAATCAAACCGAACAATTAACACCTATAAAATTGGACCAAAACCAAAACAAAGAAACAGTTTTGTTTCAGATTAGCTCATGATTCCAAGAATTCCTACTTACAAGAATAAATTGTAACTATACCAAAATTATTATTCAGTAAAATGACAACATTTAATTAATGATGATCAAATTAATATTATTAAAGCATTAATCCATATTACAGATCCATAGTATCCTAATATCGTAAGCATTTAAAAAATAAAAAAAAATTTAAAAAAAAACTTGATGAACAATACATAACATTCACATCCACAACATCATAAAAAAGGGCAAAAAGGGCCATCATGCAACAGAGATTATTTGGAACCTCAAGGATACATACATGCCCTAAATCTACCATACAAGTGCAGCAAGTAACTAAGAAAGTCCATATACAGAAAACATATTAAATCCAAGCGCAATGATATTTTCATAGGTTCACCAAAATCGCTGAAAGCTTCAAATAAAAAAGTTTCAAAGAAAAAAAAAATAGTACTATGCATCAAAGATTGAAGATCCAAATTTAACAGGCAACCAAAGACCACGGCGTTCACTAGGGCAAGCTAGGTATGCTCGAGCATGACTCACTTCTTTAGTAAGAACTTGATACACCTTCATTCGAGAAGCATCAGTCAATGCCACTAACCTTCTCAATCTCCTCAAATAATTGTTCATCTGTATAGTTCCGAAGGTTACCACGATCAAGTGCTATTGCAACTGCATGTAGACCATCCGTAATTGACCTTATTTCCTCATTCAGAGTATCATGTGATTTGTCCTTTCTCTTCTTTGAGTTTAGAGGAAGAAGATATTTCAGTAGTTTGGTCATCTTGTTGAGTTCCAATCACATCAAAATTCTCTGAGAGTGACTCTATCTAATTGGTTTTGTCATGTCACTTTTCTTTTGGACCTACAGCGAAACTCCCAGTTGCTCGATCCTCTTCAAAGAGTTGACACAACTTTTGAAAGTTTTGAATCGGAGCATGTTGAAAATGAGAAGCTTTAGGCTTTGCCTATAGAGAATAGCATATATAATATTATATTAAATAATGACGAACAAATATTTTAATTTTGTAGTACACAACACAACTACATCAATCTTACAATTAGATATACCTTGAGGTAAGCTGCCCAAACACCTGTTGTAGCTTCAATCAGTTGTGTTGAATGATTATACCTGAATCCACTATCAGTTGCTAACATATCTTTAGCCATTGCAAGATTACTTTTTAAAGTCTTCAACCGATTCCTTACATGATTGGAATCACAATGTACGCTAAACTTGGTACTCACCGCTTTGCTTGCAGCTCCATACGCAGATGATGTAAAACTACCACCAATTTTTTGCCCTCCGAGCATTTGGTCCAAGAGTGAGTCGATAAGAACAAGATCCTTTTCATTATTCCATGTCAAATGTTTCTTGTCAATTTCTACCAAGCACCTTTGGTCACCTTCCACCTATGTGCAAAAATGCCATTAACATATTGGAAGAAGTGCATAACTAGTAGCAAATTATCACCCAAACAAATGCAATGTTTCGCATAATACAATAACAAATTAAAATCTAATTCACTCCAAAAGATAACATTCAAATAATAATAATTAACTTGTCAATTTTTTGTTTTATCAACAACAGAAAAAGATTATATTGATGCAAAGCAAATGAGTCAAATAACCCTTACAGCCTCTCTCTGTTTTCCAGGATCCATATTACAATTTGATTGTCATTGAAGATTTATATTATAATCTCTCCACACGTGAGTAGTTATTCGTTCCCTTAACAATTCTCTCTTCCCTACATTCTTCAGCTAAACTTGATCTAACCAAGGGTGTGGTGATAATCACCCACCAAATGTGGTACAAAAGGATTCGGAAGTCTAGTGTAGTAGTGTGTTGTGAATGGTGTACTGTAGAGATTGAAATGAGTGAGTGATGTCACTTGGTGAGAGTTTAACACGCGAGTAAAGATTGAAATACATGAGTGATGTTGCGTGGTGAGAGTTTAACATGCAAGTAATTCAAGGTGAGAAAATGATGTCCTGTATAGTAAAACAATGTCTTTTGTGCCTTGTGATAAGTCTAGTGCACTTTGTTATTCCACGACTTGTACGAGTAGTTTGTTGGCAGTTGGAAATATAATTTTAGAGTTTTGTGTGTATAATTTTTAGACCTAAACAAGTGTTGAAATCAGCAGGTGGTACGAAAGTGACTCCATTCCTGAACAAGTGAGTAGAGGAGGTTTGGGACATGCTGTAGTGAGTGGTTATCAGCACCATTGTCAGAAAGGGTTGATCCTCAAATTCTTCATCATTAGATGATGAGTCTATGGTCATGAAATGTATATCATATAGGCTAGGTATCTCACTCTCTGGTGTTGCCCATTAAGAGAGTGTCTGCATTGATAGTAAATTAAAATGTCTTAGAGGGGGGCTAAGAATCATGGATATGAACACGCTGACAAGTAAATTTTTAAAAAATGTTGAACATGATGCATGGGGGACATGTGCAAAAGATATAATTTTATATATTTATTATATGTCATACATAAGAACAAGTAATTATTATATGCTATATATGTGAATATTTAAGTCAAACAAAAAAAAATTCAAGACTAAAGGAGGAGAAGAAGTTTAAAATTACATATTTGTTTTTGTTTTATCATTGAATTCTAAATTATTTTATTCACTTATAATTTGTTTCATGTGTGTCTAAAAGTGTTGGGAAGTATCCGAAGAGTGTCATGTTGTGTCGATATCGGACACGACACGTTACCTTCTTAGAAGTGTCCGTACTTCATAGGACGGGGTGAATAGGACTACTATTATTTTTTATTTTTTTATATCTTTTATGTTGTAAATATCCCAAGTCCACAATCTTTATAAATTTGCTCAAGTTTTATTTTTATGTTGTTTTTGATAAATGTATTGCATGTAATGGACTTTTTTTTTTTTTTTTTCTTTTTTTTGATAAATAAATTTGATCAAATTTTTATATTGCTTTCTTACAAGTTACCACAAGTAGTAAGTCTAAGAGAATGGTCTATATTGATTTCAACTAATTGACAATTTCAGTAAATTTAGTTTCAATGTTCGATTTGTTTTGTGTCGCTCATTGTGATCCAAGCTAAAATGCAAATTCTTTAAGCAAATTCTTAACGAAAACACAAGTTCTTAACACTTAAACTTGGGATGCTCACCTAGAGTTCCAACGGTGTATGTGAGACCAAAATATAAGCATGTGATGGCAAATAGTGTATGCAAACTAGCATGACACTAGGACGAGAAACATCACCTTCCACAATGTGAGAACTTGAAGGCTCTAAGAAGTAAGTTCTTCAACACTTGTGTTGAGGACCGTCAAGCATACACCCACTCACACAAGGTTAGAGAACTCTTGGAAATCTGACTTTTGAAAATACATATTTGCTACTTATTTAGTTTAAAATTTGAATTATATGCTTAGGCAGTTGTACTGGGTTTTGGAAATTCTTTTTAAATTTTCAGCTCAAAATAAGCTTTAAAAACTAGGTTGTTTAACCCCATGTTTGAGGAAAACAAATTTAACCATCTTTTCTTAAGCTGAAGATAAGTGTTTCCAAACAACCACATAGAATGTATAGGAGTTGCTAAGGCACTCACACAGCTTTTTATCATCAAAGAATACCAAATGCGGGCATTTGGCACAAATAGCCGAGCCTTTGTAACGGCTAATAACGGCTAGTTTTTTTAAATTTTACCAAGTTGGTTGACCATAGCTTTGGTTGGTCATGATGACCAAGTTGGTCGACCAAGCTGCAATGGGCATCTCAAAACTTCCACTATTTTTTTTGGATAAATCTCTCAAAACTTCCACTATGATCAACCACAACTTTAAAATTGATCTACCAAACTATGAGAAGAAAATTTCACCTACTCTTAGGATCTTGACGTGGTCGAGACTTGGGCCTTGTTTGGGGAGTGGCTAACATAGCCAAAAAAACACTATAAGTTATCACATCACTCTCTTTACTTTTCTGCACATTTTTCATGAAAAATCAAAGAGCCAACTAATATAGCCAATTCCCAAACAAGCCTTAAACTTTGGCTTTTTAGTTTTCAATCCTTTGCTTGGTTTTTCTTGGTTCACACCTTGTCGAAAACTCTCTTCATGTCGGGGAAGCTCCTTCATGACACTTCTTACAAACTATTCCTAGCACTAACAATAATGAGTCATTAAAAATTGCATAAAGAGAATGGCCCTAGTATAAAAAAATAAAAGGAACCAAAAAACAAAAAAAAAAGAAAAAAGAAAAAACATAACCACCTATCAATCTATTTGGTTTAAGAGTTTTCAAAAACAGTTTTCAAATTTTCAATCCGTATTTTTTTTATTTTTAGTATTTTTTGATATTTTAATTAATTGTTTTTTTACTTTTTGGATTCAATTAATATAAATACATTTAAAAAGTACAAAATTTATCAAAAAAACCATTTAAAAATTCACTAAACACAAAAAAAAAAAAAAAAAAGATACAAAAAATCTACGGTGCTCAGGTTACAGGTCCAAATTTGGATTTCATTCGTCTAAAAGTCCATGCGCGAAACTATTAAGTCCATAAGGACACTTCCGATATCTATAATATAAAAACTAATCGCTTCTCACAATCCCACTTCTCTCGTTCTCTCTGTATTTGTCTCTCTTTCTCTCTCACTCCTACGACTCTTCTTCGTCTCCTCTCTCAGACATTAGTTAACAATGGCGGGCGTGGTTCACTACAAGCTCCTCTCCCTCTCTCTCTCTCTCTCCATAAACAAACCCACTTTTCTCTCTAAAACCCATAAGTAGATATGAGTAGAGAATTAAGCCCCATCGATTGTCTTCTTCATCGACCATGGAAGTTTTCAGATGGAGAGATGGAGACTGGAGTTAACGACGATGACGCCAGAAGTTCGGATTGAGCCCGATCAGAGGAAAGCGACGACGGTGCGGCGAGGATGAAGAAGCCGACATTGAACTCGCAATGTGGTTTGGATCTAAGCTGAAACCAAAGGTATTAGCAGATGAAACCCCATAGAAGTTGGTTCTCTCCATAGCAGATGATGGTGATGATGATCTCCTTGTTGCTGCTCTCTCTCTCTCTCTCTCCCTTTGCTTGGATCTGGTAGCACTTATCAAGGTCGGTGAGAGAGATCACAACGGTGATGGTGGCAACCGAGCTACCATCGAATCGTCGATGATGGCAAAGCAGAGTAGAAGAAGCGGTGAGGGGCTTTGGAATCGGAAAACAACGGTGCGGCGAAGATGAGGATGGAGAAGGCAGCAGAGACACTATCAGAGATGGAAAGGAGGAAGGGGTGGTGCAGCGGCGGCGGCGGAGGCGGAGGCAGAGGCAGCGATTGTGGTGGCGAGAAGGCACGGTGGTGGGTAATGGGAAAGATGAGAGATAAAGAGAAAGGGTGTAAATGCTGAAAGATAGAGAGAGAAATAAAGAGAGAGAGACACACACACACACAGAGAGAAAGAGTGGTTCAAAAAAAGACTTTGACAAATAGACCTCTGTCTATATATTTGTGTGTGTGTATGAGAATTGGAACAGATAGAACAAAAAATTGAATAGATAGAAAAAAATAAGCTTGGTTAATTTCAACAGATAAATACAAATTTGAATAGATAGATTCAAAAATTAAATAGATAAAAAAAGATTTCAACATTTAGGTTAAAAATAAAAATTTCAACACATGGGTGGTAATGTCCTTTTGACCAACAAATTTCTAACAAATGTCCTTATGGCCCAATAGTTTCACTATTGTCCTTAATAACTTATAGGGGTGGGAATATGAATTTATAACTAATTTTCTCAAAAATCTATACATTTTATTATTTTTTGTATTTATTGAATTTTTTTAAAGATTTCTTTACAAATATTTTACTGTTTAAGTACATTTAGATTATATGCATCTAAAAAACAAAAAATAAAAATCAACTGAAATACAAAAAAAAAAGTTCACTATAGACAACAAAACACAAAAAGCAAAAATTTCAAAAATTGTTTTAAGAAACTCAAAACGAAACAGAGTATAGAATACAAGTCCACATTCAATCTCCAATTTTAGATCTGGTAATCTTTTAAAGCCAAGGTTGAGCAACCCTAGGGTGAACTTGTTTAAAGCCCTATTGATTTCAAGATGACCTGCAGGAAGGTTTTAGAAAGCTTTGGTTAAATATTCCTTCCTTTCCTTGTGTTAGATTAAGAACACAATTCATAGCAACAAGTTATGCATGCGGTGTGTTTTCATGGTGTACATTTTCTAGAGATTCACCAACACAGTTTGGTTTGGGGATTAAAAATGTAATGTAATGAACCAAAAAATGAACAATGACATACTAGGGTTTGGTCAGCAAGCTGAGGTTGGGCCTCCTTCTCGTCCTCGTCTTCTAGCTTATGCAGCAAATCCCTTTTCCGAGCCCATCTCCTTAAAAGCCAGTTATTAGACTCATCGATCTCTCTCATCAGCTGCTCCAGCTTGGCATCGTCCTTCCTCTGCGTCTGCAGTATCTCCAACTCGATTTTGTCATTCAATTTCTGCTCCATTGTCATCGAAGACTCGTCAATCGCTACCATCCACTGCTTCACCTTAGCCGCCCTCTCTTTGGGGTCCTTTGGCAAATTCCATCTGGGGCGATCGGCGATGACCTTGACCGCAGCCTTCTGAATGGCGTTTATCATGGCATTGTTCTCCTTACACCATCTCCGTATTTCCTCATATTCTTTTCTCGCAGGCTTCACTCTCTCCTCGTGCTCGATGTCGATCTCAATCTCTCTTTGCAACTGCGGCATCTTCGCCTCCGCGGCGGAGTTGGTGGAGAGGGATCGAAGGGTTTGGAATCGTCGGAGGAGGAGAAGGCGGCTACGTGTTGCCGCCATTGTTGTACGGAAGAGAGAGAGAGAGAGATGGTAAATTACAGTCACCTCCGGAGTATGGAGAAAACATACCGGCTTGAACAAATTTCTTATCAAATTTAAAGATAAAATTAAGGCTATGTTTGGTATGAGCCCTTTTTTTTTTTCTCTCTCTCTCCTTCTTTTTTTTTTTTTTTTTTTTTTTTTTTTTTTTTTTTTTTTTTTTTTTGTCTATTTTAACTAAAAATAAATAAAATAGGTAAAAAGGTTAATTATTTTATTTTTTCTTTCATAAAAGTTAAAAAAAAATTTAAAAAAAACCCATCTCAAACGAAACTTTTTTAACCCCACACTAAGATAGTTAAAAAATTAAAAAGTCAACTCATATCCTAAATGAAGACTAAATGATTGATTTAAAATATAAAATAATTTATTAATCTATATCTATCAAATATATATATATATATATATCTAAAAATTTTACTTTGATTTAGTTTTTTTTTTTTTTTTTGAGTGATTTTATTTACACACCGACACCATTAAGGCCATCTCCAACCGTTCATCAAATCTATCATCAAATTCAAATTTGGTGAAAATAAGGTACTTTTTGTGCCCTAAAATTTTCACCAAACTAATAATTTACTGTGTATAGAGTGTGGACCCACCAAACGACTGACCGGGCACCCTCTGGAATAACCACCTCAAGCAAAATTTTATAAAAATTTTACACTGAAAGATTGACCCCTAGTCAACCACCTCTTTAACAAAATTCGCGAATCCTAAGCCATGGTCCCTGCTCTTCAGAGCCGTGACAAACACCAAGTCACAACCTTCACAGTCCCAAAACAAAATAAGACACAAATTCAATCATTTCCAACGCAACTAAGTTGAGCTCTTCATTCAAAACTCATAGTAATCAATTTTGAAAATTAGTAGAAGTAAAATAAAAAATTGTCAAGACTTAAAATTTATGATTTCTTTTAATTTTCCTTTTGATTTCTCAGTAACCGAACAGTGCGAAATTCTATTATTTATCTTGTCAATCAATCCAACTAAACGTAAAATTCTAAACAGAACACAAACCTTTTATCTATGATGCAATTAAGAAGTACAACACCAACAAAATGCTTCCCAAAAACAGTTGGAGAAGTGAAACTGATCTACAAAAATGGTGTTTTTGCTTACAGTAAGTGAAAATTTAAGTGCTACTGGGACTATATATGAAGACGTCAATTTGAAGCGAACGATAGAGAAAAAGAAAATTGGTGGTGGACGGAGCTTCGGAGGGTCGGCAATGGATTTTCAGGGAGAATTGGGAAAATGTGAAGAGTGTATTTATTGGGTATAACTTCAGTTTGGCCTTCTACAAGAAAATCATCTGTGTATATCCTCTTTTTTGATCTGGGTTTTGTTGAAGAGATAGGTTGCAAAAATAGGTGGTTGTATCAGCAAGAAACATGTTTCAGAACCAGGTGTTAATGGGTATAGATTAGGAAGAGGTAGTGGTACTGGGCATCACCAAAGCTACCAACAACAACCAATTGTTTCACAACCAGGTTTTTCATTTTTTTACAATGACTGGTCGACTGGCCGGTCATCTGCCCAGTCGACCAGTGGTTTAATGAAAAGTCAAATTCTTCTGTTGGAGCAGGCGATATTAAATAGAGGAATTCGTTTTTTTTTGTTTTTTACTCATATTTAATGAAAATTCTGATAAACCGTTGGAGATGCCCTAATATTCTCTCAATACACACCATAATAGATTAAATTTATATTTTAATAATATATTTCAATGAAATGACCATTAAAGATAACATGGGGTGTATTCTATCCATTCAAAAATTTCATATTTAAAAATACAAAATACTCTTCACATACAATTAGCTCACTTCATTATCTTCTCCATTATACTTATTTTTTAAACTCAAAGCAAATTTGAAAATTTAGGGTTTAAGAACATTGAAATCAATTAATTTTGAAGATTTGCGTACCATGGATGACACTAAGATGATTGGTTCCTATATAAATATTGAAAATGTTGATTTGAACATTGAAAAGGTTAGTTTATGACTTAGCTTTTTTATTTTTTATTTATCTGATTCGTATGTTGGGAAGATGAGTTTGTTTGTTGTGTTCGGATAAGTTTGTTTGTTGTGTTCGGATAACCACAGTTAAACTTTTACACATTGTTTGATTATTTATTAAGATTGACCAAATATTAAATATTCATAGATAAAAAATTGAACATTTTAAGTTAGTTCGATTAAAATAAATTAAACTTTTATTTGTTGTTTAGATTTAAATTTTTAAACCCATTAAGTTTGTTCAACTCTATATTCTTGAACATGACTAATTTGATGGATTTGTTAAATTTTTTACAAAATTTTATAGCCACCCAACGTCCCAATGTTGAAATTGATTGTGGGAATGGAAAGTGTAAATGACAATTTATACCCACCCAATGTACCAAGGATGAGAATGACAATCTAAAACGACAACGAAAGATAAGATTTCAACAATAACAATAAAGATCAATACCAGCAAAGATGGAGACCGAATGAAATACTCCGCCGACAATATGAAACAACAAGATGATGAGATGAGACACGACGAAAGTTCAACATAAATTATGGAGGCCAACAGCATCGAAGATGGAAGCCGAATGAACCTCCACCAGGGATGGAGATCAAGACCAACAAAAATGGTCTCTGTTCTGAAAATTATGGGGTTTTTGTTGTGTGTAGTGGTGAAGATGAAGAGTTTTTGGTGTGTGTAATGGTGTGTATTCAAATAATTAGTGTTGTGTTAATGTAGGGTTAGTAATGGAAAGTCAAGGTTTGAAATAAGATATTTTTAAGAGTACTGCTATTAGCACCCCATAAATTATTTTGGACCCCTCAATTTTTAGCTTTTCTTTATTACAATAATAACCTCAAATAAAATTACTGCGAAGGACATCATTAATTTTGGGACACTCTATCTCACAATTAAACCTACACACCCACTACATCATAAATCAGGGTTTATGAGAGCACTCACTTCCATCACCACCCAATCTTCCCCATATCCCACCTTTAAAACCTTGAAAACCCTTTGGAGGCAATATTACGGCGATAACGGTGGCAACTATTTGATTAACTACACTTCTCCGGCAATGACAATAACTGGAAGTTTTTCTAGCAATCACAACTCCATAAGACGAGAGGAGTACCACAATAAAAACTTAGAGGAGGTTCATAGCTTTGATGTTGTTCTTAGCTCAGAAGAAATTGGCATTGTAAGGATAAGTTTCTTGAAAAAAATGATAAAAATAATAAAATATGTTCGCTATTTTTTCAAACTGAACTCCCGAACAAATGACCGAAATTCGGGAACATAAGCCCAAACATTGTTTATTTGTTCAGAAACAGGTAACCGAACATTATTCATAGGTTTTGACCTATTTTACTGATCACATTTTGAAATTTAATTTGTATTGTTATTTATTTCAGGATGATGGCGAGTTAACAGTTAAAATTCTTAACACTCTCAGAAATTTTCTTTTTTCAAGTTTGGGAATACAGGCTCGAACATTATTTATTTGTTCGGGAACACATTTACGAACATAACTTATTTGTTCGGGAATACAGGTCCAAACATGAAGGAAACTCGCCATTTTTGGGTACACTACAAATGTGTTTTGTTTATGGCTTTCCCTCAATTCTCACCACATACACACACACCCACCCACACTACCATAGTTTGAAGATAGAGATAGAGAGAAGAAATGAAGGATATGTTATGGTAAAAACGAAAGCTCATCAAAAGGCTATACCATGTTAAGCTGTTGATCAACAAGTCAGCATATCAGATAGCCCAAATGAGATTAAAAACAAAAAAATAAAGATATCTATCTCTCTCTCTCTCTCTCTCTCTCTCTCTCTCTCTCTCTCTCTCTCTCTCTGTAGTAGTTAGTCAAAAAGCTATACCATGTTGTAGCTTATATGAACATAGACAAGATTCTTCTTCTTCTTCTTCTTCTTCTTCTTTGTAACGCCCTGAAATAATTATATAATGATCTAACCCAAGACAACTAATACAAGGTAACATAAATGAAACGATAAGCTTCTATTAATCAGAGTTAATAAACAAAAGGTGACACATGCGATATACATTCATAAATAGCTCATCCTGAATCTACAGTATGTGTTACACGTAATAAAAGGGACGAAGGCTAAACAGATATTCATATGCCCTAAAAGCTTATATCTTTCCAAGTCACTGCTTGGTTATAACAAAATGAGTCTAACTCAACACAATTAAAGCCCTTGGCTATACAAATTAAATATAACAAAAGAGAAGCTCTTGCTCCAAATCCATCCAAGCTACTACCTTGGCGGAGGCATATCACCAACACCTAAAAATGATTTTTCCCAAATAGGGTAAGCCAAAACCCAGTAGAAACAATCTAACACAATGTATGAATCTTAACAAAGATATAAGTATGATAAGCATATCCAATGCCCATGATAAAATCATTTATAACCTTTTCACAAAACCATGCCATATCGAGCTTTATATCTTAATTCATTTTATCTCAATTCGTAAGACATTTACCATTTCATTCAGACAACCAAACTCAGGGTACAACTCAGTGGGTCTATAACCGATACAATCATTATACAAATACTTCCATTTTACAGATATTTCGTCCGCGAAAATCGGCACCCATGTACACGCGCGATTTTTGAGACTTTCACCCTAGACACATAGGCCAACTTAATTCAATGGAGTCCATCCCCTTTCTTCTCCCAAACATGGAGTACATCCCATTTCTTCTCCCAAACGTCATACATTTACAATGTATCAAAGGCATAGTCATATTCAATGACAACGGATAAGTGATTAGTTTCAATTCACCTAATCCTCATGCAATTTCTATAACAATCATAGCTATCCTCCACCAATAGCCCAAAATAGATATTTCTAAACAGATATACAATCTCCATGACAAATAAATTATTCAAATTTCTATAGGTAAGAAGTAACACATATCCAACTCCATCATTTATATAAACAGTCATCCAATTTCATATTCCCAAAACCAATTTTACTTATTTATACAAAATAACT